ATCCTTGAAATTCTGCATGAGAAACACACATTCTTGTTGTTACATGGCAACTTCAAAACAACAAGCAATCCTTTTTGACACAAACCCTCAGAACTGTTTCTGCAAAAAAGAAGAACAAGTGGAAGAGAGCCACATTTAACAACTCCAGCATTTGCAAATAGTTATGACAGTCTGTAATGTTGTAACTTGTTTTTAAAACAGCTATTTTAGGACATGCACATTTAATGATCAGTCTCTTGGTCTTAGAGAGATACTGACTAAACAAGACATCATCCTGTAGACACACTATATAGGGTATGGGATTGTAAAACGAGTTATACAAGAGATCATGAAACTATAGAACCTCAAAGGAGACACTCTTTTTTTCTGGTACAGAGAAAAAAAATTCTTTTACTTGTCAGACACTCCCTTTGCCTTTTTGTAATGTCTAAAACATAATTAGTAAACCGTTTTGAGTCTAGACATTTTTAAATTTAAAGAACTAATAAAAAATTACTTACCCAATTTTCCTCTAGACTAAAAATGAAAATGCACAACTCTGTCCCTGATTTTTATAACCTTCTGCACTCCTTCCCTCCTGGCTGGTGTGTGGATCCCCTTTCTCCCTGGATCACATGAAAGTGTTCTATTAATGTGAATTGGCTGATGTTTGAGAACACTATGCTGGAGAGCTATGAGTGTAAGGAATCTGACCCAGGGAGCTGTGGGGCTATGACACATCACTTCTGCACAGGAATTCTCAGTTGCTGGATGGGAATGACAAGGGACAGGTCCTGTTCACTGGGTGCAGCACGTTGGCACCGTGTTGTTGTTGTTGTTGGGATATGGATTTTTTTTAATGCAGGGAGACAAGTTCCAGGTTAAACCAATGTAACTGGGATTCTACCAGTTCTATCTGGCTTTTTACTCCAGCACTCTAACTTCCAAGTATCAGGCTGTCCCTTTCACCTGACCTCACAAGCAAAGGTTGGGAAAAGTGATCAATTTAGCACGTGATAAATGTAAATAACAACAGCACTGCTGAAAGTGACGGCTGCCCTAAGGAAACCACTGCAAGGCAGCACTGCTCTGCATATTTCCTAAGGAATGCCTTGCTGGAGCTCAGGATAAACACTGAAAGCCTAGGAATGCTAGCAGATTACCTGGCAGGATGGAGAGAAGGAAAAAGAAATCTTCTGCCCCCGTTGCATTCTTCATCCCTGTGCCTGAGTTCAGTTTTCCCTCGCCCACATGGGCAGGAGAGAGGGAATGCAGCTTTGTGTGTTCCCTTGTGGGATGAGATGGAGCTTTCAGCACTGCTTTGCACGGGGTGGTTGGAGTGTGAGATGTGTGAGCTTTCCAGGGAGCCAGCCCCTGCCACCTCAGCACAGAGCTGCCTCAAGCATAAACCCCAAAGCACATGGCACTGCAATGGGAAACCCACACCAATCCCAGAAATGTCCTTTAAGCAGAGCATGTTTTCACTTACATGGTACTTTTATAAATCCTCCCTTGGAATACACTGCTCCAAAAAGGAAAAAAAACCGTTGCTTTCCTAATAGGCTGTGAGTTACAGGCCTTTAAACTCATAAATATAAACATATCCACATCAGCACAAGATATGATATGCTGGGATAGGATTAAACCTATCCCAGAAGTGCTTAGGCTTAAGTCAGTTGTTTGCATGGTATTGGCAAGGTCTAAGAGGTGATAATTTCTACAGATTGCTATAAGAAATAGTGAATTTATGAATTTTCTGTGAATACAGAAATGATTAGCACATTAAAATTTTTATGTCCAAAAAATTGCCGTGCAGTTATGCAAAATATGTGCACAGATCTTTATAACACTTATTGGCTTTCTGCTTTCGCAAAAATCTGACATTGTTCCACATTTGCTTTTAATTTGTTTATTCCTCCATTCAAGATGTTCTGGATGGACCACCAAGGCTGCAGCAGTCTGGCTGTTCTCCACTCTGAGGTACCACTGATATATGTATATATTTCCTACTCCTTCTTGCAAAGATTATTTTATTTTATTTTATTTTATTTTATTTTATTTTATTTTATTTTATTTTATTTTATTTTTCTACACTGCTGTTTGATTGTAGGGAAAAAGTGGAAGGTTTTCAGCATTTTGGCCTCCAGCAGCATGACTTCCACATGTTGTTATAGTAGCAACCTGGTGTCAGATTTTCACTTAATGAAACCTTCCAAGTCCATAAAAAGAAAGGGTTCCTGGTGCCAATGAGGGATTGATCCTAACAGGATTTTTTCCTTGACATCTCACCAAACTGGGACCTTTTTTTTTTTCACAGTTCTATTAATAATTGTTCTTTTGTATGTCTCTGAAAATACCTCTTTAGACTGGCACAATGTCTATGGTGATGTGATGGGCTGTAACCTAATCCACACTGCTGAGGGAATATCTGGTGCCAGATTTTCACCTCCCACAGGATTATCTGTAAATACAGAAATAAAAGCTGCTGCAAGAATCAAGTATACTAATTCACACTTCTGCATTACTAAAACAATTTTTTTTCATTAGCTATACTCATTAAAATAGTTTTCCCTCATCTGGGTTTGCTTGCAGAGCTGGCAGCTGAATGCCAAATATTTCAGATGTTTTATTTCTGATGTTTTCAATCCTGTGCTGCCATGTTTTTAGACAACTAATTTCTTGCTTTATCTCTTCATCCTGAACAGGAGCATTTATTTTGGTGTATTCAAGGGAAATGAAAAAAGGTTTATGCTTTAAAATCATAAGCAACACTCCTGGGCAGTGACTAAAAGGTCTCATTTAAAGACAAATCTTTTTCCATTAATGGCTGGGAACATCTGCTAGCAAATCAGGGATGCTCACATCAGGAGGCCAATTTCCAGAACTGGACAAGTGAATACATTTGACAGTAAATGAAATAGTGCTAGATCCACATTTTAGGGGCTCTAGATAAGGGCACCATTGCGCTGGGCAGTTCCCAAGCTGAAGTGCACTGGGAATTCCTCTTGTAATTCACTGCTCAGCCCCATAAAATATCACATTATTGCTCTGTATGTGGTGACAATGGAAACTGACCTTTCCTTGCTGAAATACAGCATCTGTATGATCATGGTATATACAAATTGTACAATTTTACATAAAATTCTGTTGGAGATCTGCTGCTAAATGCCAGAAACTCTACATTCATTTCTGCTCCCTGAGAGGAGCAAAAGAGGGAACGATGAAAACTGCACACAATGAAACTCTCCTGCTAGATCTGCAATGTTTATTTTAGGATTCCTCTATGTGTCTCTTCTCACTTCAATGAGAACAGGGTTTTATGTATATGCATGAATGAGAACTGAATGAACATCAGACAAAAAATAGTCTTGGTGTGTGAAGACAACTGGAAAATCTTGCAGTTAGCTGCATGTAGGACACTTTTTTCACTTACTATTTTCACTGTTGACAGTAACAACTGACATATATAAACAGTAATAGCTAGGAAAACACAGATCTGATCATCTGGACAAGCAAAACAAAAACGCAGGGCAATATATTGCAGTATTTTGGAATGTTGAGTTTTTATTAAGCATAGTGAGATGACAGTAAAAAATTGTAATTCACATTTGCTAAGCATGTATTTGCATCCTGAGTATTTTTTACCATGTGTTTATGTACTGCAGTGTACAATGGGCCCTGGTCTTGTTTGGATCCTCTCTTTAGCCTTTCTGTGTCAGCATCTGAAAGCAAATTACTCATATTGAATTTGCAATGCAGATTTGACAGCACTCTACAAGTCACACAAAGAATAGAAAATAGTTCAAGAGCTCAAATATAACTTATTAATATTAAACTGAAGTATTACATATTTTAAACATATATTTTGAAAAGTAGCTTGTGCATAGTTGCAGTCTGTAGTCCAGCTGAAGTACTGGTTTGGGCAAACTGAAATAGATCCATGTCTATATACTGAGTCAACCTGATCTATGAAGATATTAAAGAAAATACTTCCAAAAATACTTTCAAACCTCTACCACAACAATTAGAACAACATAATAGTATTAATCAACAATGAAGGGCTAAGTGTTATGATTTCCATTTTGCAGGGACCAGCAGGACCAGGAAATTGATGATCCCTCTGTTCTCAGCATTGTACCTCAAGTGGTACATTCAGAGTTGGGCCCTTCACTATAGGAAGGACATGGAGGTGCTGGAGAGTTTCCAGAGAGCTCTTCTGAGGAATGGCTGAGGGAGCTGGGAGTTTTTAAGCTCAAGAAAAGGATGCTCAGGGGGCCTTCATCGCTGTCCTCATTGGTGATCTGGAGGACAGTACGGCGAGGTGGGACCGGTCTCTGCTGGGCCTGCAGTGAGACAACCAGAGGAAATGGCTTTAAACTGAGACAGGGGACATTCCGATTAGATACCAGAAAATTTGTTTTCACTGTTTAGGTACTTAGGCATTAGGAATAGGCTCCCAGGGAGGTGGTGGAGTCGCCATCCCTGCGGGTGTTCAGGAGGAGCTGGGTGATGTGCTTTAGGGGTTATAGTGCAGTGCCGGGTGGGCAGCTGGACTGGATGATCTCGAAGGTCACTTCCAACCCTGATAATTCCACGATTCTAACTAGATGGTCCTTAAAGTCCCTTCCGACCCAAACCATTCTACGGCCCAGTCATTTATTTCATCTGCCAGAGCACAGATCCCTGCTCAGGGACGAGCGCAGGCGTTTCCACGGACTCATCCCTGTATGAGAGGCGCTGGAACAAGCGCAGCGCTCCTTTCCCTGTCGCTTCCCCTCGCTCCCTTCAGAAGTTGTTTCCTTTCCCTGTCGCTTTCCCCCACTCCCCTCAGAAGTTGTTTCCTTTCCCTCTCTCTTCCCCTCGCTCCCCTCAGAGTTGGCTGTCCCCGCCTCCTCCTCACGGCCCGCGGCTCTCCGCGCCCGCAGCGCCCTCCCGAGGCGGCGGCGGAGCCGCGCCCGCAGCGGAGCGGCCTCTGCGGCCCCGCCCGCGCCCGGCTTCATGCACCGCCCGCCGCTGCTCACAGCGCCCGGCCCCGGGCAGCGCCCGGAACTCCGGGGAAGGAAGTAGATTGCAAAGGAGCGCTGAGGGATCGGTAACCGCCCCTGCGGCCAGTCAGAAAGGCCCAACCCTGTTTGCTGAGGAAGGGGCCGCACAGAACTGGGGCGGCGAACAGCGCCAAGATGGAAGATCGCGATCTGAGCGGAGCGGCTCAGCGATCACCGGCGGCGCCCGCAGACCCTTCCACCAAGACCCTCTGAGACGAACTGCGCAGGCTCGACTCGGTACGTGCATCCCGGGAAGCACGGCAGGCACGCGGGCCGGCGTCATCCCGGTGGCATCCCGCGGTTCCCGGTGACAGCTCCGCGTCCGCCATGTCGCACACCGGCAGCAGCGGCGACTCCTCGCCGGACTTGCGCCGCCGCCGCTCGCGCCGGCCACACGCGCAGGAGGAGGACACGGCCGAGGCGGAGGCGGCGGGCGAGAGGCTCCGGCAGCTCAACATCGGCGAGGGCGACGACAGGGAGCACAACAGGATGATCCGCAGCCAGTATCGGGAGCTCATCTCCACCGTGCAGCGTAAGGAGGCGGCGGGGGCAGCGCCGGGGCGGTCCGGGCTGGCGGCCGGGGGGGATTCCGGGGCTGGCGGCCGCTCCTGGGCGTGTGGGGAAACGCCTGGGCGAGGGAGCGTTCCTGGCAACTCCGGTTCCTCGGGCTAACGATGCTCTGGGTTTGGACTTAGATCGAAATTTGACTCCCAAGGAAGCCGGGAATCGCAAATCATGGATTGGCTGGAAGGGACCTTACGGGTATTCTCGTTCAAGCCGTGGCAACGACATCTTCCACTGCCCCAGGCTGCTCCAAGCCCTGTCCAACCTGGCCTTGGGCACTTCTAAGGATCCAAGGGCAGCCACAGCTTCTCTGGGCGCCCTGTGGATACACTTGCTGTATCTAAAGGTTCTCCAGTGTGAGGCCATTCCCCCTGTCCTGTGCCAAGTCCCTCTCCTGCATCCCCTGGGATAGGTTACGAGGGATTCAGCTGCACTAACACACATGCGGTGCCTGCGCTGGTGCAGGAGAACTTTAGAGATGCGGTGAAATCCCTTAATTTCACTTTTGTGATGTCTGAGCTTTAGTTTGAAACTGTAGGTATCATTATGTGCCTGGACCAGAAAGTTATTCCTGGGACTTCCAAAAAATGCTATGTAGTTTTTAGCATTTCTCCAGACAGGTGTGTGAGTCCCTCTCCTATGTGCATTTGAGTGAGCTGTGCTGTTTTCCTTACAAAAATGTGGGCATGGTTGTGTCAATAGCACTGCCAATTTCAGGCAACACGTGGGATTAGTTGTTTAGTAAATTCCTGATAAATTTGTTCAGTTGTTTTACAGGAGGCTACAGTGCAGTTTATGGGTGATCAGCCTGTTTATAGAAGTGACCTTTATGCATACAGTTTTAGGGACTGGTTAGCTTCTTTCTTGGAAATTCCACTAATTTCCCCAAGTCAAGCCTGTTTTGCCAGTGAGGTAACTGTTGAATGATCTCTCCCTTATCTAGACCCATGAGCTTTTGGTTCTCTTTTCTCTCCTTGGCCCAATTAAGGAGTGATGAAGCTTTGGTGGGCACCTGGCCTCCGGTCAGCATCAAACAAGCGCAGGGTTTCTCAGTGCTTCTATGTTTCAGTAATTCAGGGTTTCCTTTGTGTCTTTTCCCACAGAAAATCGAGAATCCATGCTAAATTCAAAAAGCAACAGGCTGACAGAAGCTTTGGAAGAAGCCAATAGACTTTTTGATGGAGGTAAAACAAATTCTGTGGTCTTTCATTGATGTGTTTGGCCAAGTGTGAGGCAATGATGCCTTACAAACAAAAGAGGGCAAGAGTGAGGTCCAAGTACTTAATCAGAATTTTTATATAAGTTAAAATAGATATGTTAAGTTGAAGATTGGTTGAGTAAGTTGATGTGAGAAAATAAATGTCATTACAGTTTATTTACTCTTAGAAATAACTCCTTGCTTTATTTTGATTCGCTGGAACAGTGCATATCAGTAATGCACATAAAAGATAGCAGTGTAGAGGGGTTCATTTCACTTGGAATGGTGGAAAACATGTCAATAAAAAATGGATTTGTTGTTCAAGATAATCTGTTACTTTTCCATGGTTTGTCATTCTTTCCCTTTTTAAAATATAAATATTGTTATGAGGATTATGTGTATTAGAGGTCATTGCAATAAAAGGATTTCCAAAGCACTAAAGCCCAGATAGTCCCTGTGCTGAATCTGATAATTCTATTTGTGACAATTTCATATTAATCACCATAAAATCCTTTCTGTAACAGTTTGCCGGGCACGAGAAGCTGCACTGGATGCCCAGTTCCTTGTCATAGCATCCAATATAGGAAAGGAGAAGGCCAATGAGTTACACTCAGAGATGTCAGCATTTGATTCAACAGCATTTGCAGAAGACTTGGTAAGTTCCAGGCTCTGAATTGGCCAACATTTCTGCTGGAGGTTTGTCCTGTACCATAAAGCCTCAGATTGTCAGGCAGTACTTGGCAGTTCTGGTGGAATTTAATGCTCTTCCTATCAATTTCTTTGATAAACTCTCTGGTGACTGTTGTTAATTGCCTTAAACTACCTATTAAGCACTTGCAATAGGGGAAAATCTGACTTTAAATGCAAACACTGCCCCCATTATTGCACTGCTGCTGCTTTATCGTGGTTCTGTCAGTTTGTGCTCTTAAAGTCTTCTGCTGTTTTTTCAGTCATTCTTCTGTAGTTTCTCAGTAACTAAGTAGTTTCTTTATCATGTCCACTGGCTTCTATGTTTTTGGATAGTTCTTGAGGCCCTGTGTCAATGACATGAAATGGGACTTTGGGAGACTTGAATGCTTTCAGACTGTTTGTCTCTTTGTACTGGGGGAAGAGTTGGATCAGAACAGCTTTTAACCAGCCTGTTGGCTTCTTTGCTCCTTGAAAATGCTTCCTTATGTTACAGCAGATCAACAAGGAATCATGAGTGTTTGTTCAAGTCTATAAAAAACATAAAGTTCAATTTAAAATTTTTCCTGGGTTAGTGTGCAGTGGTGGATGCAGGGATAGGCCAGATAAGGTCCTGTGATATTTGAGGGGCTGGGCTTCCTGCAAGTGTGTGGTGTTCAAAAACTGTGAGACATCTGAGCTCTGAAATGCAATATGAGTAATGTTCTGCTACTTCATACATCACTGAAAATGTGTTGGAATCTAAGCAGTTTTATTTATCTATGGCTTTCATCGGTTGCTGAACACAAGGGTGAATTTGAGTGTTTATCTGTTTTCATGGTATCCTCAGGAAAGTCAAAGTTCCTAGGCAGTGGTATTAAATGCTAATTTATCAGGCAAACACCACCACTGTATCACCATGAATGTATCTACTGCTTTACCTCTAAGTAATTTCTTATTGCAGCGTTTTTTCTTTTGCAGCTGACCTTCATGGGTATAAATCGCACAGAAGTGGAAGAAACTGATGACTCTGAGGATGTTCCAGATGACTTTTTACCCAGTCATGCCTGGCAGAAAATGGGGGAAGAAGCACCCAAGTACTTCAGGAGAGCACCTACTTTTCACTACATGTAAGTTTCTTCAAGGAAATAGTGTGTACTGCAGCTCAAGGTAATGGCCTTGGCTGATTCTTGTCTTTGATGCCATGGCTTGAATTGAGTTAAACTGAAGTCACAGCAGAGTGTTGACAAGGCATGAGGCTGTCAACATACTGGAACAACTTTTGGGGCTGGTTCTTTGCAGAAATCTCTAAATGTGATGAAGCTTTAGGTATCAGTCATCACTTTGCCCTTTCTTGAGGAGATCCACTGCTTGGTATAAAGATTCCCAAGCATACAGTGTAAACCAGATTTGCATGTGTGTGTTCTTTGTGTTTTGGTTAGGATGGGATCTTTCAAGTCTGAGCCTCCTGTACAAAAGCAGCGGATTGAGAGGCAGAAGAAAGCTAGCAGAGGGAAAGCAGAACGGGCAATGCCTGCTCAGGTTTGTTATCTTTATTAACCATTTGTTTGGCATAGTTATTAAAAATTACTTTTAAATCTTTGTTTGTTTGTTTTGGGTTTTGCAATTATAAACTGTGTAGTATTTGTGACATCCCACCCTTAAGGGGAGGGGAGCATCCAAGTTCCTCAGTGCTGTGCTGTGCTCTGCTTGTCTCCAGGAGCCAGAACAAGGACATTTGTCCCAGAAAAGTGCTGCCCTCCCTTCCTATGGCTCCTTCTCCAGCTATACCCTGTTGTTTCTCACAGTGTGTGATTACCAGCACTCCTTGGTTGTTATTGCTAACAATCCTTCGTTGGCTCCACAGCCATCCAGCTGGAGTTGGAGACACACACACCAGCCCCTTTCCTTCTGAGCTTCTACTAAAGGATTCACACTCCATTATTAGGCTTCCTGATTTGTTTTGTGTGGACTGCAGTATTTCACTGAGTGGAAGGAAGTAAGATTTACAGACCAATTTCATGTTCAGAAGTAGGGTTTACAAACTGATTTTCAAGTTATGAGCTTACTTGTTCTGTTGCCTGTTGCTTTGAAGGAAACAAAAAAGAAACTTCTTTACATTAGTGTGGTGCCCATTTTTCTTTAAAAAGTGTCTAACAGGATGTGGCATTTGCACTAAAATGTGGTTAATAGCAGCAAGCTAATTAGCTCACATAACCACTTTTTTGTGTTTTCTGTTTTCTTATTCTTTGTGTCATTCACTAGCAGAAAAGCAAAAGTCTTGGAATACTGAAAGAAGCTTACATCTGAAACTGCAAATATAATCCATGTTGTTACAGGGAAGCCTCAGCTGTGATAATGTGATAAAGATATAGAGGCAAATGGCTGATTGCTGCCTTTTAAAAGGCAGCCTGCTCAATCCAAATAGTGATAGAAAGGATTTGTTACAGTTTGTATTGGGAAGAAGAGGAGCTGGAGGGTTTGTGGGTTGCTCTAAATGCTCATCTTCATTAAACTCACAGACTGTAGCACTGTGTAACCCAGCTCCTCAGAGCTGTTGAAAAGTAAGTGTGTACACCTGTACACAGGCTCAAACCATGCAAGCCATGGCCTTTCAGATTGACATTGTAAGATGGGAATTAAACCTAAAGCTCTTCAAAGTTATCTCATGTTTGCATAAGTGTGTTTGTTATGTTTGCATGTAGGGAGAAAAATTCAACTTTTATGTTACACGTTCAAAAGAAGCCCTTTGCATATTCTGGTAATTCAACAACAGTTATTTGAGGTGAATCTCTGTTTCTTTTTCCCAGTTAAAAGAAATGGAGCAGTCTCATCAAGAAGCTACAGAAAAAGAAGTAGAGAGGATCTTGAGAATATTGCAAACTCATTTTGAAAATGATCGTAAGTATGATTAAATTAAGCATTCACTAGGGAAAATGAATATTCTCTGTCTCCTACAATGTGGAGTGGTAAAACTACAGAGACAAAATGAGATGAAGTCTGCAAGTAGATATCTTTGGTGAAGCACATACACCAACTATGTATTTTTTATGAACACTAATCAGCTCTTGTTTGACTGCAAAGTAAATGTAAATCCTCTCCCCTGATTAAATTCTGCCACTTTTAGATGGCAGTTAAATAGTCAAATGTATGGGTTTGTGTGGGGGAAATGATGGAAGAAGATAATATGCTATACAATATAGAACATTTGTTACTGCAGGCAGCTGGGAATTCTGGATTATAACTAAATTGAAAAACAACCCTTTAGCTTTTGAAAGGTGCACTGGCTCTCTTAAGTTTGTATTTACATCTGTCAGCTCTCTGTATACCACCTGTTTGTTTGAACAAAGGTATTTTTGCATCCCCAGCTAATACACCCATTTCCTTCTTTGATTTTGTGATTGATCCGAACTCGTTTGCACGCACGGTGGAAAATGTGTTTCATGTGTCCTTCCTTAGCAGGGTAAGACATGACATCTTTTTAAAATATCCCTTTAGATACTAGAATTTCCTAGAAGTACTGACCTGTGTTTTTTCCTGGCTTTGATATTGAAGAATTAGGATTTAAATAGGAGGAATACGAATTTATTTTCTGCAAGCAGTCTGTGATATTTTGGTAATCAAATTAAAAAGGAAACAGAGTTGACTGACTTTATTTTTTTGCACTGCAGTCAATTTACCAACAAAACAGCAGTGATATTTTTGCAGTCAATATGTTTATCAAAAAAGATTCTGGCTCACATTTTCTGCACATGTAGAAAAATTCTCACAGAGTATGGAAGAGTGACTGAGGCTGTAGAAAACTGTATTAGTGCAAGGTTTTATATTCTTTTTGAATCCATGGATTTACACTTCAAAACTGTGCTTACTTTGTCTAATAAGTAAAATTAATTATAGAAAAGACAAAAACTGCCAAGGATATTTTGACTAATTCAGGTTTTGTATTGAATAGAAATATTATTATAAAGGGTTAGCTCAAGTATATTTAGAGAATAACAACAATTTTAATAAAGCATAACTTTTATAATCCAGCAGTTACACACTGTTGCTATATGGGCTGCCTTCTTTATACATAAGTGCTGTGTTAAACTAGTTTTTTCTTATGTGGTATGCCAGTGAAGATTCTTTATCAGTATATGTACCCGTTCATGATTATGTAATAAGTAAAAATATGACATTTCTAACTGCATTATCCTAACTGGAAAACTCTTAAGTTATGAAACTTTAAATCCCACTCTTGTTTAGGATGGTCTTGCAAAAATAAAGCTGGATGAAGATGAATTGCCAATAATAGGTAAAATACAGCTTTAAAATACTCTAATTGTAACAACATTACATGTTACATGTTCACAAAGTTTTAGGTGTATTTTTAACTGGGGATATGCAGTGAATGTAATTGAAGGCATGAAGAGATTTATGAGCAGCTGAAAGGATTGAATCTTTTCAAATATTAATATATGAAAAAGACCATACAAATGAATTCTATTAATAGAAATCAAAGGTTATTACCTTTCAAGATATATTTTTGCTAATAAGTAAATGAAGATTATTGCACTTGGCCGAATAAAGATATCTTTGGGTGTAAGAACTCTCTTGTCTCAGAGTTGCTGCAGCTTCAGAACAGTTGGAAGGGAAATTCTTCATTCAAGGTTGAGTGAAGAATTCATTCTCCATTCTTCATACAAGATTGGCTTTCATTCCCACAGGATATCAGTGGGGTTAAGGCTTTGGTGGGATATTGTAAGGAAGGAAATATTTAGGTCCTTCTGAAAAAAGTTAGTTCCTAAGTTTTTAAGACCTGAGACTAAGGAAGTATCTCAAGCAGTACATGGTACAGGCTCCTGATAGAGACTAACTGGGTGGAATGTGTAGGATTGATCTGATTTTTGTGAAGCTTTTGTGGGGAAACTGACTTTACAAGTATAAATCCTGAAAGTGCTGTGTTTTGATCAGAGCCTATAAAACCCAGCGAGGGAGGGGAGGAGGACAGCAGAGCTGCAGCACGGAACCAGGTGGTCATAAGTCTGGACCAGAAAGAATGGAAGGTACCATGGAGAGCACTTCATACTTTGGATCTGTTCTTTTTTATTTAAGCCTCTGAGAGCTGTGCTGGGGAGGGCAGGTGTTCTGTGTACAGAAATACTTGACCTTATGGATGCCAGAACAATCACAGATCTAAGGGATATTTGTAGCTGCAAGAAAATGGAGAATTTGGGCTGTGATTCCATCTTTGATTCCTGAAGCCTGGTCAGTTTAAGTGCTTTGAAGCTGTGCACTGGCTTCACTGTTTTATACAAGGCCTGGGTAAATATGGAATCTGTTTCTTCCCTGATGTACAATACTTGTCTCTGGAGGCAGAGTTATCCATGCAATTTCCTCACTGTTTGTAATAAATCTTAGACAAAAAGTAGTTTTGAGTACACATACTTCTCCTTTGTCCCTCACTCAGAATGTGAAGGAGAAATGTAGTAATTTGAAATAGTGCTTTAGCATCTGTTGTAGTGTGTTTTTATACTTTGTAATACTTTGAAGTAGTTTTGTTTTGTATTCCCATATTTTTCCCAAATGGTTTATCCCAAACTGTACCCCTCTCCCTTTACCTGTGTTATCCCTCTCCGGGATGAGATCATCCCCAAACCCCCACCCTGGCTCTCTGTCAATCACTCTGCATCCCATCCCCTCCATCCAGAAGTTTCAGTCCAGGATGTTGAGTGATTAGCCAGAGGCTGGGAGTCAGCCCCCCAAGCCTTGCCCCATACACTGTCCTATATGTCTATCCCCCAGTACCCATCCCTTAGGGTCACTCATTGGTTGGTAAAATGTTATCTACTTTTGGTTTCCACCTCCCTTTAAATGTGACCTTGGCACAGCTCCCGGGGCTCTCGGCAGGAGCCCCCTGAGGTGTAGGGGATCCTTCAGGACTCCTAGAATAAAACCTTGGATTAACCCTGCTAAGAGTTGGCCCTTTCTCTTCTACCGATGTCTCTGGTGTCTCTGCTGCTGCACAGGCGCCCAGCCCAGGTGCCCTCAGCACCCTCGGGGCACAGAGAGTGTCTCCCCTCAGCCCAGGTGCCCTCAGCACCCTCGGGGCACACACAGAGAGTGTCTCCCCCCAGCCCAGGTGCCCTCAGCACCCTCGGGGCACACACAGTGTCTCCCTGCCAGCCCAGGTGCCCTCAGCACCCTCAGAGCACAGAGAGTGTCTCCCCCCAGCCCAGGTGCCCTCAGCACCCTCGGGGCACACACAGAGAGTGTCTCCCTGCTGCCAGCCCAGGTGCCCTCAGCACCCTTGGGGCACACACAGAGAGTGTCTCCCCTCTGTCAGCCCAGGTGCCCTCAGCACCCTCGGGGCACACACAGTGTCTCCCTGCCAGCCCAGGTGCCCTCAGCACCCTCAGAGCACAGAGAGTGTCTCCCCCCAGCCCAGGTGCCCTCAGCACCCTTGGGGCACACACAGAGAGTGTCTCCCCCCAGCCCAGGTGCCCTCAGCACCCTCGGGGCACACACAGAGAGTGTCTCCCCCCAGCCCAGGTGCCCTCAGTACCCTCGGGGCACACACAGACAGTGTCTCCCCCCAGCCCAGGTGCCCTCAGTACCCTCGGGGCACACACAGACAGTGTCTCCCCGCTGTGTCAGGGCTGCCCCCCGGTGTCTGCCCACTCGGGACTGGCCCAGGGTTACTGAGAGGCTCCCAGAGGGACAGAGACAAGTATCAGAAACTTTATTACTTTCTTAGTGGTAATTAAAATGAAATAATTCATCTCTGCTGACTGACACTCTGCTGTTTTCTTTAACCAGGAGATCATAGAAACATTTCAGATAAGAGAAGCTATGATTACCCCTCTTTACCAGAGCACTGAAGAAGAAATGGAAACAGAGTAACTACTCAAGTAAGTTCTTTTAGCAAAACTCAGTGAGGTCCTTATGCACGTGGGAGAACTTCAGGGAATCTGTGTGTGGCTTACAAATGCAAAAGAACTGTAGGCAGGGTGACTGTAACATCTGGAATTGCTGTGTTCTTGCCCTCTTCATGAAACAAAATGTAATCTAGCCTTGTATGCAATGATTAACTGGGAAAAAAACCCTTTATTTTTGAGTTTGATGGTCAGTTAAGTGATGAGTTATTTTTTGGAACTTTGTACTCAGGATGCAGTGTTGGAAAGAATCATAGCTTAGTTTTTCTGTTTGGGTTCTTAACTTCCTGACAGCTCATGTTGTTAATAAAGTAGTGTGAAGAAGGACTTAGAGGGAACCAGGCTGTCTTCCCTTCTGCTTCCATAAAATTCTTCCAGTGATTGGACTGAAGTCCTGTCACAGTTGTTTGGTCAATTCCAGATCCTAATGCATGTTGTCTTACTGCCTTCTCTTTTTTGTTTTTCTTTCCCCTTAGGTGCCTTAAAGAAAATACATCAGGACATTTGCTCAAACAATTGTTTTATATGTATATGTTGTAAAATTAAATATATTTTTTCTGGAACATCTCAATGCTTTATACAAGCTGCTTTGTTTTGAACCATGGAATGGGTTGGGTCAGAAGGGACCTTAAATCCCATTTAGGGTCACCCCTGCCATGGCAGGGACACCTTCCACTATCCCAGGTTGCTCCAAGCCCTGTCCAACCTGGCCTTAGACACTTTGAGGGAGCCAGGGGCAGTCACAGCTGCTCTGGGCAACCTGAGAAAGTTTAGACTTGTCACAGAGTTCTTTATGTATTATGGCTCAGTTTGCTACTTCATATGAAGTTTACTGTCACTCATGAAAAAGGTAAAAAGGAAACACTGTCCCTTCTTTCCTCTCTTGTCCCACCCCAGCAGCAGCAAGTGGAATTCACATGGTTAAACATCCCTGCTGGGATAATCTTGCTATCCTTATGATTTTGGGTGCTGCAGGAGAATTGATACTGCCCTGCTGTTCTTGCTACTCTGGAAATAAAGGTGTGAGTTAGGAAATTCAGTCTCAATTACAAATTCCTTTATTCCAAACTCCTGTATTTGTTTGGTACTTTGGGCATTGTGCAGGCCGGCTCTATAGAGCCAGAACATTATTTTATTAAAAGTACTTGTATGGAAGTCTTGTTCCATTCTCAGAAAACGCTCTGTGGAAGAGCTCAGGATCTCTCCCACCCTTTTATCCTGCTGTAGCAGCTCAGGGGGGTACACAGGGATCCATCCCCACGGAAGTGGTGTTGGAGCGCGTTTGTGGGGCGAGAAGCTGCTCAGGCCCTGAGGGTGAAGGGGGACACGGCCGAGGAGCGCCAGAGCCGCAGCGATCTCCGCTCTCCGATCCGGCCGCGATCTCCGCTCTCTGATCCGCCCGCGGAGGAGGCTGGGCCGGGCCGGGCCGGGCGCGGCGGCAGCGGCAGCGGCCGGGTAGGGGCGCTGCGGAGCTGCGGGGCCGCCGGCGCCATGCCCGCCGCCGTGGTGGAGTACAAGGGATGGAAGGAGGGCTACGGCTGCGGCTACTGCGGCGCGGCGCGGGGCAAGGTGTCCGCGGGTGAGTGGGGCGGGGGCTTGGTAGCGTGGCCCAAGCGGGGCTCGGGGTTCCTCCGGCCCCGCCGCGCTGCCCGCGCGAATCATGGCGGCGGCGCCGCTTCCTGTGCGCGCCGCCCGCGCGCCGCCCGGAGCAAAGATGGCGGCGGGCGCCGCTTCCGGGCGGCCCGGGGCTCTGACCTGAGGCGGGCGGGGATGGCGGCGGGCGGCGGTTCCCCGAGCATCGTCGAGTTCTTCGGCGGGGAGGATGGCTACCGCTGCGGCTACTGCAGGAGCGACACCGGCAACATCTCGCACGGTGCGGGCGGGGCGGGCTGGGAGCGGAGCCGCCCCGGGCTGGCCGAGAAGCGGCGGCTGCGGGCGCGGGGCCGGGGAGGGCGGCCGGGACAGGCGGCGGCTCGACAGCTGCCCCCGGCCGCCCAGCCGGGAGCTCGGAACGGCTCATACGGCCCGGTGCTCCCTAATGAGTGTGACAGAACCGAGGAGCGATTCTGTGTTGTTTTCCTTGTATATATCTGGGGAGTGGGAGGTACACAGGGGAACTTAGCGCTGATGCGGTCAGAGAAATATGGTTAATTGCTTCCCGGGATTTGTGTTGGGCTTAGGGTTTTTACATTTAACGTGGATATTGAAATCAGTAATTACCATATTTAAGAATATGTCAGATCCCTATGCATAAGTGGCCATTAGCTACTCAAATTTGCACTAACCGCAGAATCACAGGATGGTTTGGGTTGGGAGAGACCTTAAATCCCACCCAGTGCCACCCCTGCCATGGCAGGGACACCTTCCACTGTCCCAGGCTGCTCCAAGTCCTGTCCAGCCTGGCCTTGGGCACTGCCAGGGATCCAGGGGCAGCCACAGCTGCTCTGGGCACCTGTGCCAGGGCGTTTCCACCCTTACAGCCAGGAGTTTCTTCATATTATCCCGTCTAACCCTGCCCTCTGGCAGTGAGAAGCCATTCCCTGTGTACTGTCCCTCTATCCCTTGTCCCAGTCCCTCTCTGGAGCCCCTTCAGGCCCTGGAAGGGCTCTGAGCTCTCCCTGGAGCCTTCTGCTCTCCAGGTGAGCTCTCCCAGCCTGTCCCAGAGCAGAGGGGCTCCAGGCAGTTCTGCAGAGTTTGTTGTATTTTACAGCCAAACCACGGTCAGTCAAGTGTGCTGCTGTTGTTTATTTCAGGTATGTGGGCACATTCGATGACAGTTCAAGATTACCAGGATCTCATAGACAGAGGATGGCGAAGGTACGCTGAAAAAGAAAACACAAAGCCATGTTGTCAGTTGATATAACAGTTAGAATCTCCATTTAAATTTAGAATCCACATTTAAATTTAGATCTATAAATACACTTATATATCCACGAGTAATTGAACTATTTGTCCAGTGCTCTGTTTTACCTATTGTAACATGACTTTCAAACAGGGAAATATTCAGTGATTTTAGAAGGATAATACAGTCAGCAAAGAACTGAAGAACTCTTTGATATTTCATCATGAAATGTTTTGGTGTGATTTTTATTAAAAACATCTTCATTTATTTTGTAGTATAAGCAACAACAACAACAAAAAAAATCAATGCATGTTTATTACTCTTTTCAGAAGTGGAAAATATGTCTACAAACCTATCATGAATCAAACATGTTGTCCTCAATACACAATAAGGTAAGAAACTCAAAGTACACTTTTGTAAGGGATTTGACCACTTCAAATATGTTCCACCATTTGTGTTTGCTTCTTGAAATACATCATAGTTTTGAAGTTGACCTACTATTAATGATACTTTGAACAGTAAATATCAGCTCTTGGGTTTGTGCACAGGGACATGAGCAGCTCTGGGATATTTTCCTGTAGGGAAATAACCGTGTCTGTAACCCACAAACACTGCTTTAGCAGCCCACTTGTATTTTAATAATTCTAGAGATAAACATAAAAGCATGCCATAAGGACTGATAGTATTCAGTAGAAGACAGTGTAATTTCATTATCTCAAAAGTGTTGATAAAACATTTGACCACTCAATATAGGGAAACTTAAGAAATAAATAGAGATTACAATGTAATTTTTGTAATTGGTTCCTTAACCTTTTTTTTTACTGAAACAGTCTTTCACAAAGGAAATGGTTTTTTTGTTCTTTTTTAGGTGCCGAGCTTTGCATTTTCAGGCTTCCAAGTCCCACAAGAAGGTTCTGAAGAAAATGTTGAAATTTATTTCCAAAGGAGATGTCTCGAAAGTAGCGAGCGAAGGTAAGAAACACTGAGTGCTTGAAAACCAACACTGATGTGTGGAAGGAGGATTTAAATACCTGCTTGAGTGGTCAGATGGCAAATGGGCTCTGAATTCTGTGTGTAGACCCCTGGTTGGGCTGTGTCTTGAGCACTTCAGTAACCCAGGAGCCAAATTGTTCAGGTGGCTGGGGTTATTGAAGAAAATATTTCCTTACTTTTTCCATAGACCAGCTTATTTTTCCTGGGCATGCCCAGGAAAATAAGCTTTCTAGCTGGGTGCTGTAGAGAATTAGATGCTGTTTTTACTTCTATCATGAAACTGATAATCTGGAGATGACTAACTAGAGCAGCTGGTGGCACAGAAAAGGAAGAGCATAGAGGGTTTTTCCAGTCACTCTCCATTTATCCAGCACCAAACTCAGCAATTCTTCATGTTGGTGAAACTTACATTGGTTCTGAATCATTATAATCTGCCTCTTTTGTATGTGTGGGATGCTAGGTTTGTTTGTTGTTATTTGTTTAAAATATTTGACTGTCCAGTTCTAATGGAGAAGATAAAATTGTTCTCATAAATGAATTGATGTTCATAGTTTGGGATCATAAAGGAAACTCTGTGTTCAGACTGTTGCAATACTGTGGGAAAACACTTGTAAAATTGGAAACTAGTTAATTTAGCATTAATTTTAGTTGTGGAAAGTGTGAACTGTGGTTGTACAGAGAGAAATTCACTCATGCAGGTTTTAATTCTTGACAGAAGAGCCAATGGATTCCCATATAGAGGATGTGGCCACGTGTGATTTTCTGTACAAAAGCGAGTCTCAGGTCAGTCAGTCTGACCTGACTCCCTTGGCTGTGGATCAGGCTGAGAGGGTGGAGAATGAAGATAAGGACTCAGGAGAAACAAAAGAAGAGGGCAATGTGCAGAAGGTGGAATCGGATTCTGTTCAGGTCTGTGCAGACAAAGACACCCCAGTCCCTGCAGAGCCATCACATTCAGCCAAAGCTGCTCATGCACCACCCAAGCCAGGTAATTTCTGGTAGGAATTGGAGCATGCTCTCATCATTTCACATCTTCTTGAAATCCCTTCTTTTTATCTTGCTTAGTAAATTAGTAATTGTTTGGTTTTATTCCCTGTCCTCCTCCAAGTTTATGGAATTACAGCGTAAAAGTTTAGAGATGCTGGGTGTTATTTGTAATACTGTAATTTATATTTTGTTACATGAAAAAGTTATATTTATCTTCTTTTCCTCACCTTCAGTAAGACTGAATCTCTAACACCTGAAACTAAGGAGGGGAGATTCAGATGAGAAGCTTTTTATGATGAGGCTGGGGGTGCCCAGAGCAGCTGGGGCTGCCCCATCCCTGAAGTGTCCAAGGCCAGGCTGGATGGGGTTTGGGGCAGCCTGGGACAGTGGAAAGTGTCCTTTTAAAAGTCTCTTCCAGCCAAACCATTCTGTGATTCTGCCTTCTCTTGGGACATGGGTGGTTTCTGGCAGGAAGATGGTAAAGGGTGGGTGGATTATTGCCAGAATACTTTATTTAAGGTAGAATTGCTGATAGACACTTTGTGGCTACAGGTAAGGCAGCCTTGTCTTACAGATCTTGTTTCCCATTTTGTGTAGCCTGTTCTGGCAAATAAAGGGAATTTCCATCATTGTGGTTTACTGGTACATGGTAGGGAAAATCCTACTGGAAACTTGCAGCTTTAGAGTTTCTGCCTGTGTTGGGACATCCTAATAATTCCTGGTTTCACTCACCTGTTGCATGTTGTGCC